AACGCAGACCCACCCTGGTAAAAGCGACTTTGTATTAAAGTGGTATGAAAAAGTCTAAGATTTGAAGAATATATTAAAGTCATTTACATCCCCCCCCCCCCCTCCACAAACACACACGAAAAAGGCTTTTGAAGTTTGGGTGGATTTTTTTTTTTTTTTTTGCTTGTAAAGAAATTTTTGGGTTTAATTTTTTTTTAGGGGGGGGGGGGCTGAGGTGGACCCCCCTGGGGAAAATTACTGGATCCGCGCCTGTGTTATACAGGTACATTAGAATTATGGTGAAAACGGTACCTGGTGAAAACGGCACCTAGTGAAAACGGCACTTGGATTATGCAAAACGGCACTTGGTCAAAACGGCACTTGGTCAAAATGGCACTTATAGAAAAAAGTATAATTATATGCAATAATAATTTGATATATAGATTGATAAATATTTGTGTGAGTATATATACATGTAAACATATATAATTTTTGTTTTCTGGGAGGGTCCATTTTTTTTTTCCAAGAAAACAATTCATGTACACACTGAAATAAGTTTTTATGAAATCTATGTGATCCTATATAAAATTAAATTATGTGTGAACCTATGCATATACATACTTTTCTCCACAGATTCATACATTTAAATACCAAATTTGAAATGATTTTTTTTCATTTTACATGTTTTATTCCTTGAAATATCAGTATCTTCATCTTTTAGTCTCCTTTTTTAAATTAATGAAATAACAGCATAGTTTTTAAATATAACATTATTTTCAAAAACAAGATTATAAATAATAACAGCAACATTTTATCATCTAAATAAGTTATAAATAATTATATGTAACAATTAAATATCAACATTGTTTCATTTTAATATTTAATCAGTATAATTAAATAGAAATAAATTAATATTCTTCATGCAGTTATAAAAAAAAAATAACCAACAAACAAATGTTTTTGTTTTTCTATGTACAGGTTTCATATTGTAAAAAAAAACTTATAGTAAATGTTGTATGGCTATTCAGATTTTATGTACAGTTTAGAGAGGAAAATCTAAGTTTCAATCCCTTTGACATATAGTCAAGAAATACACAATAGTAATTGTATGTGATTGCAAATTGACGATCAACAGATTATTGAGGGGGAGGTGTGAAAAAGTCTTTTGTTTCTTATTCCTACAAGTGTATTCTAAGTAAACATACTCTAACTGGCTTCTAATTAATCAACTGTGACTGCATGGCAACCCCCAAAACAGAGTAGTATACATATTTGTAATACTATAAATTTTTAAATTTCAAAGGATCGTGATAATATTATTTGGATTTAATCTCTTTTGTAGAAAATATTAGACATATAATTTAAAGAAGAAACACATTTAAAAAAATCTAACCACTGTACAAAAGTACAATAATTTTCCAATGAATTAGTCTATTTTTCCCCCTAAAATATTTTTTAAACATTTTTATCAATAATAATATACACATTTATTACTATAAATGTAATATAAAGATCCATTTTCTGTATAAACAATATCAAATTCTAAAAATTAAAAAGTGCCGTTTTGACTTTTCTGAAGTGCCGTTTTGACTACTCTCAAGTGCCGTTTTGCATATTTACTAAGTGCCGTTTTCACCAGGTGCCGTTTTGACTTGTACCCGTACATTATATGCAAATAATAAAAATAATAAATTAAAAAGAGGTAATTGTGTTACCTACATTTATTTGGTTCACAAACAGGGGTTTCATTCACTCGAACCCTTTTTCTTGACTGCATCTGGTTACTAGTAGTCGGTGTAGAAGAAGCACTGCTGGCTCTCGAACTGTCATCATTTCTCTGTATCAAAACATTAAAGCGAAAGTAGAATGCGGGTGGTTTCGCTCCGATTACGTGTTCGCGCCGAGTGGTTTCGCGCCGATCACTTGTTCGCGCCGAGTGGATTCGCCCCTATTGATTTCTACTGTATAACTGAAGATACCGCTTATCGAATTAGTCATTTGATTAATATGTATATTAAAATATTATTTTTAAAAAAGTGGTAATTGCAATGAAATGGGAAGTCTAATAAAGAATAATCGCCATGCAGAAGAATTCGACATAATTTAATATTGTAAATCAAATAAAAAACAATGACATTCTTGAAAAGTCAATGAGATTTGTATAATGAATATTTATTTTAACTTCCAGTCTTAATTATTCCAAATTAGACGATCAAATTTGTTCAAAGAAACGGCTATTTTCAGTATTAAAACTGGGTAATTATGCGACACACGACATTAACGCTTGGGGTTAATTAATTACAAGGCAATAAGTTATATAATTACAGGTAATCGGGGGGAAGCCATACTGTATACTACCAATAATATCTTCAGTACCTGTTGATAAACGGGGCGAAACCACTCGGCGCGATACCACTCGGCGCGAACACGTAATCGGCGCGAAACCACCCTACACCCTCTCGAAGTTTTAATAAAGGACATCTGGGGAATTCCATCTCATGGTTGTGTATTTTGGTAAAAATAACAGGCGAAGAAAAGGTGAAAATACAAATAAGTAGTTCTGTCGCTCTTAAGCAAGTTAAAATATATAAAAAGAATTATTTTGCTAGTAACTGTACTGTAAGTTTCCATTAAATTCGAAACTAATGTTGTAATAGTGTAGACTTCCTTCTCTACAATGTAAACAATATTTATACAGTACTTAGCCAACGAAAATCAATTAATATCCTTCCTTCGCTACCTAAGTGAACCTAAATGAAATAATTCGTGATTTATTGTGTGATAAAGTGCAAAAGTATATGCAACATATACATTCTTTTTAAGTATTTAAAGAGAGAAAACCCTACCCGAGAATTTTCTTCATCACAGTGGTCACTTTCATCTTCCTCTGATGAATCAGACATGGCGGGCAGAATTCGGCGTCTTTTTGGAGTCTTGGCAATTTGGCCTGAACTACAACATGTACAAGCCCCATTTGTTGCCTGTTTTGGTGTGGAACCTCCGCAGGAACTTACGACACTCTCTTCATCTTCATCACTAAAGATTCTTTCACTATCCGAATCGAGAGGACGACTCATTTTTTTTACAAGACTCAAGATATTGACGACAGCGACAACTCGGCAAAAACAATACCGCCTCAGTGCAGTGGGGATGGGCTAGGCGGGAACTCCAGTTAGTCATGTAAACAGGAACCCCCTGAAACCCCAGTTTTTATACATGTGCTTGGAAGCTGTGGAGAGCATCATTGTTCAGGACATTTTTCAAATTTTTATTGGTATGTAGATTAGTTTATCTTTTATGTTCACATTTTTTTTTGTATTTGCATAATTCAAAGATGAAAAAGATTTTAAATATGCTAAACTTATATTATTTCAAAAGGAAAGACAGTTTAAATTTAAAGAGGCTGAGGCCTAGAGCTTCACACTATCATTATAAAATGTGTTCATGTATGTATACTAGTCATTTAGATTATGTAACATTGTACAATGAATTGATATTACAACTTTAGCTGCAGAACTGTAGCTCTATGCTTGAGAAAATTCGGACAGAATCAGATAAAGCAGAGAGCAATACAGATCCATGCATTGTAAATACCTTCGATTTACGCCGCCGATTTGTTGTCGCTCACTTAAGGTACTGTTTCTGTTTTTTTAAGCTTTCCCCAGCTTTATAAATAATATCCGATATTTAGCCATACATTTAACTTCTATTCCTAAATGTTAATTTACCTTTCAATGGTTCTATTAGGGCCTTTTGTGGAAGTTGACATAAAAATGGGACTGATTCGGACCGTTGAAAGGTAAATAAAGTTTCAATTGGAGTCAAAATATATGATTAATTATTAGTTACCATTCTTAGAACCTAAAAAAGCATAAGCTTCAAGAAATAATATCTGTAGTGAGCGACAAAAGATCGTCGGCTTAAATTGAAGGTTTTTACAATGCATGAATCTGTAGCTCTCTGCTTTATCTGTCCAAATTTTCTCAAACAGAGAGCTACAGTTCTGTTAAATAAATCTCTAATGAGATTCTGCTAGGCTAGATATTTGGACTTGACGTCGTCGCAGACAGCGTCAAGTCCAAATATCTAGCCAAGCAGAATCTCAATAGAGATTACAGTTCTGTGGCTATTAAAACATTTGCAATGTAAATACTAAAATAGTTATTTTTTTTTAACACATGCTAGCCTAAATGGTTCGATAAACTTTTTTTTTTTATTAATGTTTAGGTACATACAGTAATACACCAGTTAATGAGCCCTAGCTGCTACCATTTGTGCTCTTACAACTCCTGTGAAAGCTGAATATCCATCAATAAAAGTTGCTTGATGTTGCTAATTTTCACACGAGATACTGACCCGTAAAGTTGGTAAGCCCAAAGGTTATAGAGGGAAAGCAGGGACTAACGCCGGTTGACCCCGGATTGACCCACAAATGGGAATAACTTTGTTTAATGTGAAAGTTGTCTATTTAAAATGGAAAGGAATATATCAAGATATGCATGTAACCATCACTTATATATCATCTAAAGTACAGTTTCTGTTTATATTTTTTTTATTTAAAGGAAAAAATGGGCAAACATAGTACAGAAAGCAAAAAGAAATTCAGACAAAGGAAAAGGAAAGAAAAGAGGCAAAAGAAGAAACAGCTTAAGAAAGCAAGTATTGATAAAAATCACATTTGCCTGTGCAATGCTTCATCCTGTCCAGACAGAGCAACATTGTCTTCTTTGTCTTCTTCATCAGCACCCCCATCAACATCATTACAATCATCATCAACATTATCACAAAAACCAGTTAAACCAAAAGATAATCAGAATTTAATAACATTCACCTCGGATCCATTGTATGTTCGTTTTATGGAATATTCCACATTGAAAAAACATGTTGCAGCTATTGAACAAAGAGAGACTTCCATGAAAATGTAACTAAAACTACATACTCATTTGGTAAAGAAATATCTGAACTGAAATTAATTATTATTGTATGTAATTTAAGTAAAAGAAATGTTGGGGCATCAATTACAGACTTTTTATATGCTTTTTTCACTCATATGCAGATATGTAAATATGATAGACTAAATATCAAGTTACAATCATATAGAAAAAGGAAGCAAAATTTAAAAATAAAAATATTATATTGCTGTTGTATTTCTGAAATTAGATTTACAAAAATTTTTTTGAATTTTATGAATGTATAATAGATCATCACACCTGTTTGCTATGGATAAGTGTTTTTTTTTTTTTTAATTGTTAATTATATAAAATGATCCTATAGCCAAATGTGGAGAGGTGACCCTCAAATTTTTTTTATATCTTTCATGAATTTTTGTTAGATATTCAGTTAATGAGAATGGTTGAAAAATTAAAAGCTAAAAATTGGAGATCCTCACGCCTTTTTGCCAAGGAGAGGTGTTTTCATTTGAAATGATCCTATAGCCTGGCAAATGTGGAGAGGTGACCCTCAAATTTTTTTAAATCTTTCACTAATATTTTTTTTAGATATTCAGTAAATGAGAATGGTTGAAAAATTAAAAGCTAAAAATTGGAGATCCTCACGCCTTTTTGCCAAGGAGAGGTGTTTTCATTTGAAATGATCCTATAGCCTGGCAAATGTGGAGAGGTGACCCACAATTTTTTTTTTATATCTTTCACTAATTTTTTTTTTAGATATTCAATAAATGAGAATGGTTGAAAAATTAAAAGCTAAAGATTGGAGATCCTCATGCCTTTTTGCCAAGGAGAGGTGTTTTCATTTGAAATGATCCTATAGCCTGGCAAATGTGGAGAGGTGACCCTCAATTTTTTTTTTTATTTTTTTTTAAATTTTTTTATTTATCATAGTATTGATTTCTTCTTCCCAAAGTCCAATAAAACTTTCTGAATATAAAATGATCTTGGGAAAGATCATAAGACAATGTTTATATATAAATTACCCGATAGGCCTTTTCTAGCTATTTAATTTTTAATAAATGTATTGCAAGAACTACAAGTACATTAGTTTTCAGAATTTTTTTTTATTCAGTATCTTGTATACTCCACTCAGAGTAATGTTTTGGAATATGTTTATAAGGCAATTTTTTTTATGTTTACAGATTTCTAAGGGTTGTTGCTAATGGAGACGAATATACATATAATATTATCAGCAACAGGAATGTTAGATAAATGTGGTGCATTGCAATCAGGAGCCCAATTCCCATTCTTCTTTTGTGAACATGAGTTTAAACATTCATGATATATTTATTCTCATGCTTGTATAACAACATGTCATCTGCAGCAAAGCGTCCACGAAAGTTTTGTACAGCATGTAAATTAGAGTTTTCAGACCGACATTTTCGGAGACACATAGAAAACTGTAGCAATGATCTTTCTTCTGCAAATGTATTTGCAAATACTGGTAGTGATAGCAATACAGGTTATACAGATGATGATTTTTATCAAGAATCTCCACTTTTCTCTGATGATGAAGAAATCTTGTATAGAAACTATGACTCTAAGACAAAAAATATTGTTCAGAAAACTTTTTGTAATATTAGTGAGGAAGATGCTGAAACATTTTTTGATATAGAATTTGAGAAATGTAGTGAAACTTTAGAGACCACAGATTCTGACATTGATGACACTGACAATTCTATTGACACAGATATCGAAGAGCAGAAAAATGCTGTAGTGTCAGAGTCAGAATCCATAAATTTTTTGACACGAGTTGTGTGTACTCTTTTAGTACTGTGGCAGTCAGTATACAATGTGTCTGATTCAGCTGTTGATGCATTATTAAAACTTTTTTTCAACGGTTTTTCAATTTTTAAGTAATTTTTCAGCATCACTACAAACATTAGTAAATGTTTTCCCACAGAATTTGTATGCAATGTCAAAAGTTTTAGTCAGTAGCAAGATACAGTTTTCAAGGTTTGTTGTATGCAGAAAGTGTTTTAAATTGTATGACTTGAATGACTGTTTTTTGAGAGTTGAAGGCAGAGAACAATAAAAACTCTGTAATCATATTTGCTTCCCGAACCATAGGCTTGTATACATGCGTAGAAAATGTAAAGAACCTTTACTTAAAGATGTAGGAGAAGCAGGTGTTTCAAAATTTGTACCATTTAAAACATATTGTTACAAATCATTAAAGTCATCACTTGAAATTTTTGTAAATCGTGAAGATTTTGAGGATAAATGTGAAAGGTGGAGATCTAGAAAAATCCATGAAAATATGCTTCATGATGTTTATGATGGAAATATCTGGAAAGATTTTAATGGTAGAAAATACAATTTTTTCACTGAGGAAAGTAATTATGGTTTAATGCTGAATGTAGATTGGTTTCAGCCCTTTAAGCATACCAGTTACTCTGTAGGAGCTATTTATTTATCAGTTTTGAATTTGCCGCGGGAAGAAAGATTTAAAAGGGAAAACATTATTTTAATTGGTATTATACCTGATATGAAGAAAGAACCACCAACAAATACATTTGTTCAACCATTAGTTGATGAACTAAATGAGGCTTGGCATGATGGTTTTCATATTAAATCTAGGAAATCAAAAAATCAATTGAAAAAGTTTAGATTAGCTCTCCTCTGTGTAGGTTGTGATTTTCCTGCATGCAGGAAATGATGTGGGTTTTATGGTCACATGGCCAACTTGGGATGTAACAAATGTAAAAAAGAATTTCCAGGTGTTTTGGGTGAGAAAACATTTGGTGGTTTTGACAGAAGCACTTGGCCCCCAAGAACAAATAATGATCATAGGGAAGTTTGTGGGAAAATTTCAAAATGTTCTTTAAAATCTGAAAAAGAAAGCTTAGAAAAGAGGCATGGAGTTAGAGTGTCTTGTCTACTAGATTTAGACTATTTTGACCCAATAAGAATGACACCTATTGACCCAATGCACAATCTTTTCCTTGGAACTGCCAAACATATGATAAGTGTATGGAAAACCAAAATGATTTTAAAAGAAAGTGATTTTTTAATTATTCAGGAGAAGATTGCAAATTTTTTCTGTCCATCTGATGTTGACAAATTACCAAAAAAGTTTTCATCCTCTTATGGGTCATTTAATGCTGATCAATGGAAAAACTGGACTTTACTGTTTTCAATTTATGCTTTAAAAGATGTCATACCTGATGAACATTTGGAATGCTGGAGAAAATTTGTACTAGCATGCAGAAGGTTATGTTCTAGATACATTTCTTTAGGAAATGTAAAAGTAGCTGATGCATTGTTAATTAGTTTTTGTAAAAAGTTTGAACAACTTTATGGAGTAGATTTTGTAACACCAAATATGCATTTACATGGCCATTTGTTAGATTGTTTGTTTGACTTTGGCCCAATTTACTCATTTTGGTTGTTCAGTTTCGAAAGAGAAAATGGAATACTAGGTTCTTATCCAACAAACAGAAAAAAATATAGAAACACAGCTTATGAAAAAATACCTGAAAGAAAGTTGGGCCAGGGAAAAACATTCAGATTTTGATGAGAAATTTTTGTGTTTGTATAATGACCTGACCAAATATCATACTGACAGTGTAAGAGGAACCTTGCAGGAGCAGTTAAAGTTGCAGCATACTTGTAATGTTGAAAAAGCCTCAATTGAAACAAATTTGCGATCAGTTGACTGGAGCAATAATGATGGTATCTCTACCAAAAAATATAAGGGTGAAACATTAAGTGATGTTGAATTGAATCAACTTCAAAATATGTATTCATTTTTGTATGTTGGTAAGCAATTAAAATTGTGTTCTTCTGTGAAAGTAGGAAAAGAGTTGTACATAAATGGGTCTGTTTTAGGCTCAAAATTCAGTAGAAGTGTCCGTTCCTCCTTTATTTTAGCTTTTTGGTGTGGAGATGATGGTGAACTTGTACATACTTACAATGATCTCGCACCCCATCCAGGTCAAATTGTTAAATTTTTGGAGCACAAAGTCATGATTGATGGTGAATTAAGAAGACATTTTGTGGCGAAAGTTGCATGGTTTAAACGTCTACCAAATTCATTGAGATTTTCATTTGGAAAACCAGTTGAAATATGGTATAGGATGCAATTTGAGCAAGAAAGTTCATCAATGTATATACCTGTTCAGAGAATAAAAAGTAAATTTGTTTATGCTATTGAAAGTATTTCAGGAAAAGATGTTATTGTAGTTTGTCCAAGAGAGAGATATATTGTATGACTTTGATAAGTACATATATGTATATATATATATATATATATATATATATATATATATATATATATATGGTATTATAAATGTAAACCATGTCAAATTTTAGTCAGATAATCGACATGCATTGGTTTTGGACACAAGACTTCAAATTTACAATAAGATCAATTCCAATGAATTTATGTAAGTCTAAATTTTGTTATATTGTATG